CCTGCCGATGCATGCTGGACTTCCCGACAATGCGCGACACGCTCGCCTGCCAACACTTGCTTGTTAAGAGCTGTTGGCGGACTTGACACCTGATCCATTATAATTTGTGAATTTATTTGGAAAATAAAGTAATCACTACAACTTTAACTCTGTTACACAACAGATGAAACATGTACGAACGGTTTTTCAAAATTTTCGTATATTCTCTTCTTTCTTTATGCTTCCACCGCCCCCTTATTTTTATTCAACGCCCCCCAATTGCACCCGAGGCTACTACTGCCCCCCTGGATTGTTCCAGCGCCCCGCAGGGGGCGGTATCGCCCACTTTGGGAACCTCTGCTTTAATCATTCCCCAGGCTCTTCTCTGCCCCCTCTCCAATTTATCAACCTCCTCCTCGAATCGCAAGCACCAGAACTGGACCCAGGATTCCAGCAGCGGCCGCACCAGAGTCAAATACAGAGCTAAAAACACTGCTCTGCTCCTGTCCAAGGATTGCATTAGCAAGCAGCACAAATCTCCATTGCATTCTAAACTCCGTCCCAGCAGAGCCCCCCACCCAGCCAGGCACTGGCAGCTTCTGACCCCAGCTCCACGGGTGGCAGCTCCCCTCCCCAGCCAGCCAGCACGCACAGGAGGGGAGCTCTGCAGGGTAGGGGCTTTCCACAAGCCCAGCTCACCCTCCTACTCTGCTTGGCTGAAGCTGTTGCATCATTAGTGCTTAGTGTCAGTGCTACAGCCCTCCCAGGGAGCAGGGGGAGCGGAGGGAACAGGCGCATGGGCTTCAGGAACAAACAGAAGCCAGCAAGGAAATGCTGGGGCTGGCTGCCAGCCAACTGAAGGCAGAATGAGTGGCAGCAGCTGGCAAGCTCATTCCAAGGGATCTGAGCTGCTGCCCCAGGAACTGGAGCCTGCCATCACATGCAGGAATCCTGAGTAAACTGCTCCGCCTGCAGACCAGCATACCCAGGGGAGGGGTGCTACCTGGCTGGCTCTCCCTGGGATTGCAAAGCTGGCAATGTCTCTTTGGATGATACGTTGCCTCCAGGGAAACGCCTGAGCAGGCCTGCAAACCTACCCTAGAAGCCTGCTGCAGCAGGGTGTGACATCCCTAGACCATTGCTACGAGCCTGGAGGAAAGGGAGCTCCTAGTGCTAAAGCCACAAACCAGGGACCATCTACACTATTCAGTCAGCAGCCTTCTGCTCTGTAGATATCTATTTGTGCAGTAGATCAGTAGACAGACAGACCGACTTGTTCACGTGCATTTTGGAAGACAGATGGGCAGACAGAGCAGTATACTAACAGCTAGGAGCGTGGACGGAGAGACAGAGCAGTATACTAACATAGGGTTACCATACGTCCGTTTTTTCCCGGACCTGTCCGGCTTTTCGGCAATCAAACCCCCGTCCGGGGGGAATTGCCAAAAAGCCGAACATGTCCGGGAAAAATACCGTCTGGGCACTTCCCCTCCCGCGGCTGCTCTGCGAGTCCTCCCCTCTCAGACTTCGGCTCTGTTTAAGAGCCAAGCTGCCCGAAGCCGGTAGCGCTGGCTCGGGCAGCTTGGCTTTTAAACAGAGCTGAAGTCTGAGAGGGGAGGAACAGAGGCAGCTGGAGCCGGGGAGGAGAAGTGCCCGGCTGGCGGCTGGGGGCCGGGGGCAAGGGGGGGTGCCCGGAGCCGGGAGGGCTGGGCCCGGGCGGGGCGGGC